ACACACACACACACACACACACACACACACACACACACACACACACAGTTAATCTATCCTAATCTCACTTCTCTCCTCATATCATCACATTCTTAAATAACTTAAAAACTTAAATATTCTCTATTCTCACTGCTTTACTGCTTCATACCCTCATCCTATTACTTTTATCCTTTGTACTGTCTGTATCTACATATGCCTTCTGTCTCACATTACACTGGTGCTAATAGGGTTTGGGTTTAGGCACCAATTGCAACGCCATAGTTTTTTTCCCTCTACTTTACTTTCAGCAATATGAACAGTTATCTTTAAAACCCTTCCATTCTGCAGTTTGTGATGAGAGGCCTTTTTATGAGAGATACAGTGTTTCTGAAAATGTTTTGTCTATTTAAGCAAAAAAAGATGATTCTACTTGAAAGTGATAATTTTCTGTTGTCCAATACTTCGGTTTGTACAGTCTATGTTTAGGACCAAATACAGGGGCGTTGCAACAGGGTAGACAAGATAGGAAATTGCCTGAGGCCCTGAGCTTAGAGGGGGGGGGAGATTAATTGATTATATTTGTCCATAGCAAACACAATTTTTTGAGAACCCACTTAAATTCTTAGATTGGCTTTGTACAGGCGACTGCAACGACAACAAGGTCGGAAACCCCCTAACAAGGCCCCATGCCACTATGGTGTTCTGCCAAAAGTAATTTTAGAGGTTTGAGGTTTTGGTTGAAGACTTGAATGTCTTGTACGATGATGTGTGTGGATGATGTGTCTGGGATGGTGGTGGATGGTTTGTACTTAAACTTTAGTACTTCATTGTTGTTTATGTGAATACATAGTATGCACTTTGTTTCTAATTTTGACTGTAAAAGAATCGTTTGAGGAATGGAATTACATGGTTTGGTGTCATGTGTTTCTGGGTTTGCTAGTTTGATGTTTGGGGCCCTCCCAGGTCCCTTTTGCCCCAGGCCCTCAAAGTCCCTTGAAATGCTCCTGATCAAATGCAAACACTTTGCGACAGTCTCATATGCACTTTGCCTCGTGCTTATTAGCAAATGTTAGCATTCTGACATGCTAAACTAAAATGTCAATAGTTTGTCAGTGTTGTAGTTCAATTCTGGCTGCAGAGGGTCATGTGTTTTGTTGCATGTCATTCGCATAATACCAGTGCAGTGTCAATCTATATCTTATCAGGTGAAATATATAAAAGCTGAATCATTGGATTTTACACATGTGGCAGCTGACAACATGCTAACTGCAGCAGGAACATGTCTCTAACAGGCTTCATACCTGTAACTGGTGCCTCGATGTCCAGGATGGTTTTCTCTTGTCGCAGGATAGCTGCCCCCTCATCTATGATTCGCAGCGCCACGGCCTGCTCTACGCGGCCCTCCTTGGTGAGGTGGGCCTTCAGGAGATCCACCCGAGGCTTGCCTTCGCAGTCAAACACTTCCTTCATAGTTAGGCGGTGGCTCAGGGGGAAGGGGACCGCTGAGGAGAGAGCAAAACCACTCAGGCGAGTTTTCATGTCAAGACGAACACAGTCCTTGATTGTTTCTACCACTGTGGTGAGAGAAAAACGGCATAAACATCATTCCGTGAATAATACAAACAACTTCTTATCAAGGAATTGATGCAGAAATCCTATTTTAGAAACCCACCAATGCATGTTTTGCCCTGGAGGCAACAATGTGATGCCACCGCCTCCATCTTTGTTGACAGTTTATGTACATCTTTGGCATGAAAGCATCTTCATTAAACACGGCTTTGCTTTACATACCACAGAGTATGTGCTGATGTGAATCAAACAAGAAACTCAAATATCTTGAATGATTTAGAAATATACAGTATGTGAGACGCCATTAGTATTTGCCGATGTTTATATTTTATAAGTAGTCAGTGTGCATTTAACGTGGCAGTGTGTTTTGAATGTTTCGTAATGTCTATTTGTAAACCAAACATCATATGCTTTACTTTACATACAAATTTTATATATAAATCTCACTGAATCTTGCATTATATATTGAAAACAATAAGATTTGATAACAGTGATTCCAGCACAGATGAGCAGTGACTCGTTTACTATTTTCTCAGTGCTGGATAAAACTCAGCTAACATGTAAGCACTTTCAATTCACCCAGCACTCTCCCTGCATCGCTAAAGCCCGTGGCCATTAAAATGCACCAGTCACCTACCGACAGACTGCCTGTGAAACTGAAATCCAACCTCAGATCATTACTTCAGGGGCATCGAGGGTTATTCATTAGATCTGCCGCTGATCTCCGTGTGCTGTGACTACAAGCTTTCAGGGCCCACGTATTGATGTTAATCTACAGATAATCTGGTTTAACACAGAAAACTCTTTCTAAGTGTTGGAGTCATAAATAATTCACATGGGAAGAAAAAAAAGAAGTCAGATGAAGTCCAGTTTCACAAATCATTAACAAGATGCAAACACACACACATAAATACACTTAACACAACGATATTCCAGAGTATGGCCATTCTCGCCAGTCATTAGCAAGCAGGGCCTTGCAGCAGCATCCAAATGTAGAGAAGACAAAGGAAGAGTCTCAAAGCTCGGGCCTAACTGAACATGACCAACACGGTATTTAATAATGAATGCCCAACTGGAGAAATCTCAAAGTCTCTGCTCCTGGGATAATGAGGTGAGCCCCGGCCAGTGGATTTAATGGGACTAACATTTTTCTCAGTTTGCAGTGCGTATCTGTGATGGAGATGTGTGCTATGACACTTTACCAGCGAGAACAAGCTCAGCATATAGTCACCACTCAAGCTCCCTTAACTTTTGTTTCAGTTAGCGTCATTATGCACTGATGAATTAGCTTTTTATTTGATTCTCAGCACGTAATGTATAAATTCTGCTGCGGAAATCGCATGTTATTTTTTGACACTGACGTCGGCCCTCATCACTAAAACCTGTCGAATCTCGTTGTCTTTTCAAGTTGACATCTTTATCAGCACCTCTTTTTCATCCTGAAAAATGTGTATTACTTTTTTTTTAGTATTGCGTCCATCGTATGTTAGACTGCACCTCTGTGCCCACTCGCTCGCTGGGACTTCTCTAGAGAATTTCCTGCTATCATTTCACATGGACTGGATTCTCCAGTTTTTACCTCTGGATAATCTTTTGAAAATGTTTTAGTGCATCTTTGAATGCAGCTTCTCAGACTTTCAACCTGTGCTTAAATAAAAAGTAGAGCCAGTACAATAATTTACTGTACACATGCTAAAATGACAGCAAAAGGTGATACAGAAATCCAAATCACACTTTTTCCAAACACGCTACTTGACTAATTAACCTAAACAAGACATTTTACAGAGACACACATACGTAGCCGCAGATACACAAGCCCACTGATATAGATGTAAGGTGGAGGGATGAAAAGCTGACTTCTGCTCAGCACCCAAGCAGAATTGAACTATGAAATACTGTATGTTGCCAGGCAACAGCAGCAGCAGCTGACTGTTGGAGTACAGCCAGTGCCGCCACAGAAAACTGCAATTTGCATTGGAGGCTCAAATGGATGCAGTAGGAAATGCTCGTACTGTAAACACACTCAGTTGAGACACCTCAGTGTCAGCATGAAGTTCGGACTGTACACGCTTGTTATCAGTGACTTCATTCTGCAGGAGTGTGTAGTTTGAACTCTATTTAATTGGACCTGATAGTGTGCGTTTCTACAGGGTCCAGTAATCCTGCACAGACCCAAAGTCATGGAAATCTTGCTGCTTTTCCTTCACCCACACCCTCTGTAGCTCCACCTGCTGTGATCTTCTTCATTTATACTTGAGAGGCCGCATGACTAATTTCAAATGTGCACATAAAAGCAGATCTATTCTGCCAAACACAAATATTGCCGCATTGTAACCATTCATAAATTATTAATTCGAGTGTTGTTGACTCCAATTTGCATATTTACCCCTGAAAGCTGGAGTAAATGTTTTAGCCTGACGCGCGGCCTGCTGAGTTTAAAGCTGATGTTCTGTGTCTCGGTGCAACGCTTTTCATATTGTTGCATAATGGATACTGTTCTTTTAACTGTTACAGATTTTCGTGCTGCATTTTTAGAATACAGTGACATCAAGTTTTCTTAAAGTGTGTGAAGAAAGTAAGATACTTCACAGGTGTACATACGTGGGACCTTGTCCCTGAAATAACTGACCTGAATCTGCCTCTCAGTGACGTGCTGTGGAAAAACAAGCTGCACAGACCAGCAGTTATCTCTTTAGATATGTTCTGTCAGGTTACAGCGTGTTAAGGGAAAAGAGAAGCAGAGAGAAACTTGTACATGTACACAGGGATAAAAATAGCTCGGAGCAGCTTGTAGTATCAGTGCTCAGTAGTTTACTGCTCGTACTGCACATGATAACTGCAGGAAACGTCCGTCTCAACTAATCAGAATCCCAATCGTCTTGATAGCTCACGTTGATCACCTGAAGGATGCATGATTCAGTCTTTAATGTCTCTCGCATTCTCTCTCACTTTTCACTTTTTAGTATTCTGGGGATTTGACAAAATGGATTTTACTACTGAATTCTTAGGTTAAGCTGTTTAAAAAAATACTTGTTATAGACCTGTATGAAAGTCAAAAATGTACAAAAGGGTCAGAATTCTCAGCTGTGCTGTGTTTGATGATATAAAACTCTTATTTGACATATTTTTGATTTCATTATCGCTGTGCCTAAGAAATAATGACAAAGGTTTTTTATGATCACATGCAGATTCAGAATCACCTCAAAAACAGTTTGTTTGAGGAAAAATTCAGATCTGTCATGTCACACTGAAGGTCCACTAAAAATGAGCAACAACAAAACACAGTTAAAGGTCCTGCAGAAAGAACCTGGCTCTATAAAGCTCATTCTATCGTACATTGCATGCCTGCAGTCATTGTTACATGCAGGGAATGTACCTCACAGTGCAGATTACGCTGTTTCTACAACTCTGTCTAGCCTGAAAGGACAAAGTTGTTAATGCTGACTGAGCTGCTCGGCCACAACAGTAACACACTGAATGTGAATGTATTCATGCACACTTCTGAGTGTGTGAGCTGATCCACGGTCACAAGGAGCAGGAGCTAAATGAGTTATGGCACGACTGTGAGCACTTCATCATCCTCCATTGATCCAACTTGTATCCTCACTAATTCTCTTGACTGAGCAGCCTTCACCACATCCATTGATGCAGCTCCTTGTAGACATTTTCTAATGAAATTAAAAACATGACTGGCTCCTGGTCTTTCAAAAAAAAACTCTGTTAAACATCAATTTCATGCCCTTCTTCTTCTTCTTCCTCCTCCACTGGCCCTGTGAAATCCTGCTGCATCACTGCCTCATGCAGCTCCTATATATTCAGCTGTTTTTTTCTCTCTCCCCTCTAACCAGGCCAAAAGATGCAGTGGAATCGTGACCGCGAACATTAAAACAGGAATAACATAAATCAGCACGGTTGATTATATTCCACATCTCCTGGTCCCTGGTGCTGATGCTGGGCTTCGAATCGGATTGTTGATCAACATCAAAGCTCCTGCAGCCCACTATACCACCACACACACAATAATGAACGACATGGAAATAAAGGCCATGTTCTGCCTTAACCGCAAGGAGCAGGGAACACTTGAGATGTTATGTAATATCTGCACAGCCAGCACCAGGGAAGAAGATGTGGGCGAACTTACATTTCACCATCCGATCGGTGGCGTTTAAGACGATGTCAGCGTTAGACATCTTCATGGGCAGTTTGCTGTCTTCGAGGCTGAAAGCGGTTTTTCTCCCTCTCTCTCTCTTCCTCCTCCTCCTCTACGGATCTTACTCTCTGCTGTGTTTGTTGTCGAGATGCGACTGATGATGCTGTGGCATCACTCAGATGATGCGCCCCCTCCGTGCGTCCGCCGCTGCTGCTGCTGCTGCGCCGGGTAAACACTGCTGCTGCTCCCCGGGCAAGGATGGATGGATGCTGGATGCTGGAGGGGCTGCTGATGCTGGAGGAGCTGCTGATGGTGCTACTGCTGCTGCTGCTGCTGCTGCGGGGCTAAGCTGCTGATGTGGGGGAGGATGCACGGAGAGAGAGAGAGAGAGGGGGCAGAGAGAGAGAGAGACGTGCACTATCCCGACATGGCGGTGAAGGGAACTCCCACGCAAATGTTTCGCGGGACTGCCTCATGCTGCCATCAGATGGACGCAGAGACTGGGGGTTGCCCCACTCGCACGCACTGTGCGCCATGTTTTCGCGTTTTCTCCAAACGTTTTGTTTCGCCTTCATAAGATGAGTGCGCGTGGACCTTGCCCATTAAAAACATGCGTAACATCTATTATAACGTTTTTGATCATGCACGCGAGCGCACGTGCACGCGAACATCAGAGGGAGTTGGATTATTGCTGTGGAGGCAGAGAGTTGTCACTTGGTGGCGACAAACAACCAGCTTCTGCAAATTGAGCCACTTACACCTGCAATCTGCCAACACAGGACCATGTAGAATACCTCAGCAGTTCATCAGTTACTATGAATCCATGGATCCTTCATGGATCCTTCATAATATTCAACCTCAAATACTGAGGAACCTTCTTTTGGATCCCTTAGTTTTGACTGTCAGCTAATCTTCACTCTCCATGACGCATCTGTGTCTTGCTTTTCTCTTCCAACACAATGAACCCATTGAGGAATAACTGAGATTTAATCAAGGGTCTTATGTGTCCCCAAATTTAGACAAAGCTCCAGCACAATAATGAGACATAATTCTGCTTTTGTGCCACATGGGTCAATAATTGAATCCATCAATTTAATCCTCAATGATCCATCGATTTACTACTGCTGCAACCAAATTTTGAATTTGGGCCTAAATAAGATGTATGTATTCATTAAATCTTTAGGCTGTGGTTCAGACATCACATCAATGTTAATAATACAAATTAAATATGTATGATGATGATGATAGCTTTTATTATTCAGACTATCATTCATCTAAAACCTCAAATAATGCAGGACCTATATTTGAACTTTTGATCCCTTAGTTTTGACTGCCAGGCCATCTTCACTCTCCATGACACATCCCTGTGTCTCGTTCTTCTTTTGTTTCTTAATGATCCCAAGTTTCCACAACAAATCCCAGGAACTCACACGACCCCTCGATTTAATCTAATTTATTCATTTCATTGCTGAATGGGAGACATTAGATATAAATTGGTAATGATCACATCAGAAAGAATTCAAGATTTACAGATTTTGAATACACATGAAATAGAATATTCAGAGTTGAGGAGCAGATGTGCACATGAACATAAGAAGGCGGTTCCTTCTTGTGTCTGTTGCAGTTCCTAGAGTCCACCAGTAGAGGCAGGAGAGATCTACCCTCTTTTCTTCCTCATTTTAATAGAATGTTACGTGTTTGTGCAACTTGTTTTTTTGGGGTTAATACATATCACCCTCTAGTCATTATAATTAGCCCTTAACAAAAATACAATATATCAACATTGATAAATACAAAAACTATTAAGACACTGTTCCTATTTGTGCTTATGCAGCAAAATCTTCCTTTTTAAGCTTTGAAAATTGTAACTCAGTTTCTATGATTGAATTATACAACATCCTAATGGTTGTGGCGAGTTCAATCTTTCATCTTCTAAATGAACAAGGGAATAGTTAAGGTGTTATACTAACATATTGACAAAATGGTTTCATTTCGATTATAAAAAGCAAACAGATACATAACAAACTTCTCTGTTGAGGTCAAATGTGCAGAAACTTCTAAATCGGTTGCTTGTTTTCCAATATTTCATCTCAATCATTTTCTAGTTATTGTTTCATACTCATGTAAATATTTTATCATTATTTCTAATAAACTCTCGACCTGACCAAATGAAAGATTCACTCCCAGCATCTTCGTTGTAAATTGATTTATCGCTGCTTTCAGCAACAGTTATAAAACATGGCCTGATACATGAGCGTGACTCTTTTCAATTCTTGTGACCCTCGCTGTCTTTTCATCTTCATTATTGCTACAGGCAGCACAAGCTAAATAAAACTCCCTGCTTTGGAGAGAGGCTTTATAATATATTTTTTAGTAACATTACTGTCTTCTATTTCTTCTCTTAGATTTTAGTGGTAGAGTTTTGGCAACAAGAGACATTTTATTCATAAATGTATTTATTTATCAGTCAAACTGGACCTGAGTCATGTGATGTTGGAATATTGTGTAATCGTTTTTATCAAACAGTCATTAGATGCTGTTTACCTTAAAAGCTTTTTTGTATTTAACATATAAAAAATTAATAAATCTTTGGTATAAAAAAAGTCACAAAGTATGAAGCCCCTGAAGTCCCAAAAGATGATATTCTTATTTTAGTGGGAACAAGAGAAATATGTTGTGCACACAGAGTTAAAATCTGCGTAGTAAAGACATGACTGCCCAGTGCTTTGAAGACAACTCTAACTCGCATTCATAGCCTTTAAGAGTTTGTTAATTTCTCATGTATTATGTTGGAAACATAGTCCCTCTGTTGCCTGAGCCTGTTGTCATTCAGTATCGGCAGAAAATGATTTCTGACAGTCCTGTGTTAGCTGAATTTTCTCCATGCTATGGTACAAATGTGGTAGCTGTGTGCATCTAAGTGAATAAAACGCAAAAATATCTTGGGCGCACAAAATAAAAAAACAGCAAACACAAGCTTCATTTAGTATAATTTCCCAGTGATTCGCAATGTGTTTAATAATTAGAAGTAATGCATTTGTAGCTGTTTGAATTTAATTATTATTCTGTGAGTCTTCCTCACTGCTGTGATCAGATTTAATCATGCATGCACTGTTTTAGAAACACACCTCACAAACAGAAGCAAACAGATCAAGATGGTTGCACTCAAGGAGGAAACATGCTGTTAAACCAGCGTAAGGATGCAAACCGCTGCCAAATGTTTTCATTGAACGTACCCTGGGTGATCAGCAACAGAGCAGCAGGAAAGCTGGCTGGATTTTTGGTTACTTTGATTTTTTAGGAGTTTGAGAAACACAGAAGTGTAAGAGAATACATTAGGCCTGATTCTGGAATGTTGACACTCAGACTACTTTCAATGTTTTAGATCTTAATCTTGAATTCTGATGCTCAGCCTCAGGATATGTTACTTAATACATAAGTATGTACATATTGAAGATATGTTGAGGATATATACACCATAGGAAAACAGAAGTGAATCAATTAGCCTGTTTGCAGATGTATACGTAAAATTTGAACTTATGTATGTAAATGTTTTCTTCCCATCTTTCTGTCCAATTTTGTCATCATGGGATGCATTCAGTTTTCTGATATATTTCTTACTTTTACAAAATCCCCATTGAAAAGAATGGACAGACTCAAAACAAATGCATGGCTCTTAATTTACTCTATACACCACTTACACTGCAGTTTATACTATTCATCTTTTTTTACTTTTTCCAACTTTTCACAATACTTAAACTGCTTTTTCAAGCCAGATATTCAGTTCAGCTTCAGCTTGTGAAGCCAGTACTACACCATACTTAAGATACTCAAGTATTCATTAAACTATTTCTCAAACACCCTCTATGAAGACCTGCCACTAGATGGCGCTCTCACCCTGATTTTCGCTGCAACATCAGCAACAGCTGGTGTCTGGTACATATGAGTGTTTAGATTCAGAGACTTGATCATCTGAGCAGGCAGTGACACTGTGTGTTCAGTGCCACAAGCTGAACAGTTGTTGATGTCATTTTGTCATGTTTTGTCAGTCAAGACAATAGAACCATTGCTTGTCGACATCTTACACTGAGCGTGTGAGTAGTAGCAGGATGAATAATACATCTTCAGATATCATGGAGACAGTGTCATCAGGCAGCTTGGAACAATGAGACCTGCACAAAAGGTGCGACTGACTCCGGCCTGTTCAAGCTCTACAGGAAAACACATCACAAAATCCATAACACTTTAGAGATTCAATTGATAGCCGAGTGTCCAATAGCCTTCCTATAGGTGCCTGTGGGATATCCTTGAAGTTGCCAATATGGCTGGGCCACATAAACCAGAGAGAGTAATGAAAAACAAAGGAAACGATGCTGGAGTTTGTGCCTTTCTCCTTTTCTTATGATTAGTAGTTTGTTATTTTAACAGATCAAATCTTCCCAAATGAGAAGTATATCAAATTAACATGGGATAGTGGAGAAAGAAAAAGAAACATCCAGCAACAAAAGGAAAAACAATTTGAGGAAAAAACATAAACACAACTACACATACACATACAAAGGAAAACAACAACTAATATATACATCAATATGCCCACATGTATAAAAAAACCGTTAAGAAGTTTACAACTGTAAAACCAGAGACTAAACAAAGTATACATCTCAAATTGATGCAGATCAGATCATTTAATATATATGATTTAGGGTTATGAGCGCGAAGTACCCAATATATTAGAGTGGTACAGGCCTCATTACAAGTCATAGTTCTCCACCGTATCAAGTGGAAGGGGCAGTCTGGGTCCAATCACCAAGTGGTAGACTTAAGTTAGTTAATGTGGAGGGGTCACCTTAAATACATAGATTGTACCTTTCTCTTGTTCTTTGGTCTGAATTGGACCAAATAAACCACATTTTTGAACCTTTTGTTTTTATTGTGCTATACAGAAAAATAATAATTCATAATGAGTTTAATTTACTGCCTAAAAATCATTACATTGCATGGTTTTAGAGCAGCAGACTGTTAAGAAGGAAGAAAATAAAATATGATTTACTTAAAAACATTTCTACAGTACCAGTGACCTGTTGGCAGCTACATTTGCTGACACTTCTGACCCCCCCACCCCTGCTTCAAACACTGTTTTTGCTGGCGTGCTGTCCTGGCACAAGGGCAGGAGAAAATGGCACAAAGAAAAGGCCTGTTCCGACACACTGTGGCTTATCCAGCTGTA